AAAATAATTACTTTACATTGTTTGTCTATAAGAACTGAACACAATGATTATTCATACAATGAATTTATCCATTATTGAAAGATAGTTGAATCTAAAGTAAGAAATAAATAACTTGCAAAATAGGTTGTGTGGGGTCCAAGGGTGGTGGGGGATCAGGGAACAAAGCCAGTATGGGTCCAGTGGGGGGTAGGAAAGGTGAAGCCTCCCTAGCTCCAAAAAATTAAATGATCGTTGATTTAAAAAAAATTTTACAACCATTTTCCAAACAAAAAAATAAACTCGATGGAATGAGGGTATCATTATAAACAAAAAATTACTACCAGAGGGAAAACTGTGCTAGGCTTTATCCTAGTAAAAACCAAACTGACTCTATTATTGATTTATTGGCTGTTCAGCGCTACAAAAAAAGTAATCGTTCTTAAAAAAAACATTTTTATTTTTTAAAAACTACATAAATAAACCTGATTTAATTAGAATTTTATTTGAAAAATCTTGTGTTTCAACTGTCTAGTTAAATAATATTACAATTAAATGGAATATAATTTACTACAGTTTCAAACAGAGTGTGTGCAAGTTATTTTTAATGAATATTCCATATGTATTAAGAATTTGCTAGTTACTTTTTTAATAGCGTATGATTTTTTGACAGTTTTTTATGGATGTTTACAATAATTGTTTACGTAACAAGTGCAGAAAAGACAATTTCCCGCACGAGTAGTGATCGATTCACACGAGTGGCTGGAGTTGACGGGAACGAGAATTAGTTCGCAAGGTACGAGTTACCGTCACCGGCCACGAGTGCGAGTCTATCACTCGAGTGCGGGAAATCGTCCCACACGAGTTGCGTAAAAGTTTTTTCGCAATGTGTAAGGAAAATAAGTACAAAATAGGTATGAAATTTGATTTCCAGTGTGTAGCAGAATTTTTCCCGGTGTGTGGCAAAACTTGTGGCAAAACAAAAAATATGTATAAAATGATGTAATAGTGCTAATATTGATGTTTTAACAAAAAATTTTCAACTTATACAAATATGGTCATACTTTTTTGCTCAAGTAAGAATGTGTGGCAATCGTGCATTAGATGTAAAATTTTAATTTTTTGCATTAGTTTAGCCACTGATTTATAATTTTTTTTGTTTTAGCATAATAATTTTCTTGGTAAAATTAATACTTTTAAAATTTCTAATAAAATACCTAAATTGCATCATGACTTTCAATGCCTACAGCATAAGTAATACGTATTACAGAGACCCACTCTTGTTTTCTCAGTAAATTGCATCAGAAATAAAAGCAACCATAAATACGTACACACAAAAAAGAGGATGTGGCTTTGATACCTCCGTTACACGATCCTGCATACAAAAAGGTACTGCGCACATAGTAGCACTAGCCGAAGGATCTCGCTTGTTTTTGGGCCCAAGATGAAAGGGAGGGAGGAAAAACACAGCATCCTGCAGGTGTTTCTATTTTTTCGACCTTGACCAGTTTTCGGATCCTTTTGTAATGATGGCGTGCACGAGCACGCCCGAGACACCATAAACAACCCCCACCCCCCTTTTTTTCAGCCCACCGTGACCACCTATAATGTATTTTAATAGCTACGAACACAGGGTACCTATTGGAGCGCGCGGTGGCTCAGTCGGCTAGGTCGTGGATTGGCATGCGGGAGAGACCGTGGTTCGATTCCCGGCCAGTGCGACTTTACGGGCAAGTACCTCTGTGATTTTTCACCACGCAATGCTCCTCGAGGAGGGTTTAGGCAACCTTCTCGCAGCATAATTGCCTAATTTCCCCCTACCCCCCCTCCCAATAATGGGAGGCCTTCCCATCCCTCTTCCCTTCCTTCTCCCAAGTGCTAAGTGCCCATAGTAGTGCCCTTATTAAAGGAGCCGGACGTGTAGAGCACTCTAATATAAAAAAAAGGGTACCTATTGATGCGTAGCTCCTTAGGATTCCTGTCATGAATCCTGCCTAAGAATTATAGAATGCACACATTATGGACACGATATTCTAAGTCGTAAGATGTGCTGTAAATAGGTATGCTACTTCGTAATATTAACTTTCGTCTTGCTACGTAAAACGAAGGCACCAATTTCTCCCCGCACAAGCAAAAAAATAAAAAAAATGTACAAAATTATATACTTACACGTAAGCAACGGAAGAAGTCTTTATACGTCTCATGTTATGCCTTGGATGACACTTAAGCTCGAGACCTGTGACATTCTCAAGTTTGTCCCCTATACGTGTATTATCACTGAGAGAAGGATTTGTTAGTAATTAACTTCACATGTTAAGTATTAACTTACGTATAATATGCATCCCCGAAACCATACGTATTGTAATAGTTAAAATATCAATGTTTCATTCCAATATTTTGCCATAATAAAAATGATGTTTGAACTGATAAATTTGGAACTTCGTTTAAGTTTTTATTACACAAAGTAGAGGACTGCACGTAATCTTATTGTATTATCATTACATAATATATTGTTTTAATAATATTAGAGTAGTAAAAGGATTAAATATGTTATGTTAACTATTAACATGCCGTCTGTGTCAGTTAAATTTTAAAACGTTATAAAGCACATGTAAACTAATTTTTTGTTAACATACTTGTACGTTGAAAGTAAACAAATCCTTCTCTCAGTGACGCACTATTTTTAACGATACATAATAATGTATTTGGGAATATCTGATCTGTTTGGCTAGACCCAATAGGGTATTTCCTTTTGCAACTGTCACAAGCCAACAAATAACAAATAACAAAGATGTTTATACTCTCATTGGGTACGAAAATTTTGGTTAGGGAGCTTAATAATTATATTTTAAAAATAACCATTAATTTCGTTGGATTAAATCGAAAAAACTTTTCAATCGCTGTTTCTACATATATATTGGTTATCGTAGAAAATTAAAATAGGCACGATAATATTTCCTTGTGTGTTGCACACATTTTCCTTCTGTTTTTGACGTTTTCATACACGACAAGTTTATATATTGAATTTTATTATTCATCAAATAAAAACGCCAAGTATCTATTGATCATTTATTATTTTTTATGTTGTGAAATAAGCCCATGGCAATTAAAAATCACCTGTTTTCTGAAAATCACCCATTTGCTTGAACCTGTGTAATCAAATAAACCATCTTTTAAACTTTCCATTGCCTTCTTCGATGGAAAAAAGTATCAAATTAAGAACTTTTTTTACTTTCCATAAAAGTACAATTATGTTTTCGTTATATTTTTATCGGGAAGTATATATTGTCTGAAAAAAAAGAATATTTAATGTTATTAAAAAAAGTAGTGAAAACGAGCTATCTGTTACTTTTAAAAATGAAATGGATTTTTATTGGACAAGAGCAAATGTCAAACGAAATGAAAATACTTGTTATGCTTGACATAAAATAACACAACAGAAATTACTTCAAAAACGAGCATTTTGATAGATTGAATAAAACGTGAAATATTAAATCTTAACAATTTCAGGGGTTGTAAGACCTGATTAATATCGAAAATATCAATTCTATTTTACTGGAGATTAATAATGGCATGTAATTTCATTCCCTCTTTCATCTGTAGGGTCGGATTTTTTAAACCTTTTTTTAACGTGCTTTTCCTATAAAATGGCTTTCATCCACGGTAATGTAATTCAAATCTCACTCTACTGGTAATAAAGGCGTTGGACTATATGGCCTGTAACTCACACAAAGGGTAGCAAGTACAGCAATATATGCAGATAAAATTTACTCCGATTTCGAACGAAGTAGATGTTGGCTTCTCTACAAAGAATGAAGTTAATATAGTGTAAATGCATTAAATATATTTAAAAAGTACATATTTTTCCTCAAGGTAAAAACTTTAAACTCCATCCAATGTACAGGCTCTAAATTCCTTTAAAAAGTAAAAGGACATTTTTGTCTTGTAATGCAAAATTATGTTTCGTGGTATTCTATTTCATTTTTTAAATTTTTTACTCCAGATACTGCTCTCTGCTTACATTTTATAAAAAAATAGTTGAATATAATTTACGATAAAATGACATGCTAACAATTAACAATGTATACATGTCAAAAAAATTATAACTATAGTACTCAATATGACGTACTTGCGTGTAATGTAAAGAACATAGAAAAAAATCGTATTTTTAAAAACGTTCCTCGTACCCCAAATTCCTCAAATGTAGCTTATTACTCACATACGATCCCTAATATTAGTCTTTTGAAGACTATATGGGCAGCATCGTCGTCCGTTTCTAGACGCAGAATTATTGAACTACACCATCGTTGTCCTAAAGACGATTGGTTAAGGTCTAATTGTGTGCTTCGATATACGCAATAAAGTTTGAGATTGATGGTCACCTGTGCACTAAAATTTGACGAAAATGTAACTATAAAAAACGTTGCCCGCGCAGTTGTGAAGATTTCTGGATCATCTCTAAGGTCAGGGGAGACAACACCCTATAAGTACAAATAATTAACCGAATATCACTTCAATTAAATTTAAGCATTTCCATAAATAATGTCCAAAATTTAATTTCTTAGTGACGGACTAACGCTCTTAGCCCTTTCCAATTTTATTACTACTTGTAAGACTAACGATAAGTTGCTGGTTTGTAAATCAAAAAATTGCTCTATAAAACACATTGACAAAATTCAAGTCAATTCCTAAGAACTTAATAAATTAAACTTTTAAATTTTACCTCGTCATTTCATAAGCCCCCTCCCCCTTGGTACTTATTTCGCAAAAGTTACGAGTCTATAGAGATGTCTTTCACCAGAGGCAATGACAATCTATAACAATCATTTATTCCCTCATGAAAATTTTTTTTACTTTTTGTAAAGAATGTCGAAAAATATTGTTTCTTATAAAACCCCATGTCAAAACCGCTGTTTACAACAAATTTTATACTTCAATAAACAATTTCTAAAAATAATACTTCATCCCAAAACGAATTATTTTATACATAAAAAACGTAAATATCTTTTCTTCTACTGTTCCAGGTGCAATGTTCGCTCAGGCTACGTAGTCCACCCGAAAAAGCTCAATATCACCATCAGAGACGTAAATACGTTCATCGATTCGTTGGATTTTCCACTGCAATCAATTTTTAGTCATCTTAACATGACCCTCCAATTATTCCGATAAAAATTCTGGAAAAGCTGGTATTTGTTCTCAGAAATTAAAAAAAGAACCAATTACAATATTTTGGAGGTGCAAAAATTGCAAAATGTCGAAGTACGAGGTAAAGGAAGGGTGTGACCTGGAGGCGCAGCGGGATGTCACTCTAACGAGCTACAATAGGTCGCTGGTCGACGATTTGGGACTGTTCAAGGAGATCAACGGAAAGAGCTCGGACGACAGGCTCAATGGAATGGACATCGGTCGGGACAAACTGGATGAGGTGCAGGGGAGTGGCGTTGGTGAGTGAAGCCATTTTTTGTTTATTGTAAATGTGCATCATGAAAATAAATAGAAAAATAAAAAATTCTGGTTAGGTGCAAAAGAATACTATATTAACGATATGTGGTCAGATCTTTTTTCCGAAGTTTTTATCTAAATTGTTTATCATTTTTTTTCTGATCAAGTTCAGATAAAATAACATACTTTATTCATGTAGTTCAGGAATTAAAGACTAAAACAAAAATAGTAAGACTGTCTCTTCTTTTAGAGTTGGGACTTTTTGGTGCGAAAAAATTATCTGGTTGACACGGTCATTATACGTCATTTTGAAAAATTACCCATTACCAGATTTTTTTGAACAAATTTCTATCGTGAAAAAGGGAATATTCATTTGTACATAAAATAAAACTGATTAAAATATGATCCAAATACAGTAGGTCATAAAATTATTTTATTTATAGTTTTTGAGCACTGAGCATAATATCTTTAAAATTTTTTAATTTTTAAGTTAAAACGCTTAAAATTGACTAAAATTAAAAAGTAAATTAAAATATTGCTCTATATAGGATATCGTAGAAAATTAAAATAGGCACGATAATATTTCCTTGTGTGTTGCACACATTTTCCTTCTGTTTTTGACGTTTTCATACACGACAAGTTTATNAACAACCATAGTTTTAATCTGCAAGATGGTATTACAATTAATTTTAATTCTAAAATTTGTCAGTATACATTAAATTTTTACCTACTTTTAAATATATAATATTACTAAAAAAATTTGTAAAAAATGTTTTGTCTTAATTTTTACTGTACATTCAAAGATTATTTAGATGGTTTACTTGTATTGACAATTGAAATCCTGAGAAAGTAAAAGAATGACCTATTAATCATGGATATAAATAATAAACATAATGTTTGTACAGAGAAAATTACATACTCAAAAGTATTTGAAATTTAACTGTTTAGTAACATGAGCTTATGCAGTGGATGCATCAAATTTTGAATTGAGTATCAATACATTAGCAATATATTTCCATAATTCTTCGTCGTATACTGAAATCATATTAATAATATAACATTATTAAATGTATTTTGAATATTAGTTTAAGGTAGGTACTTTTATATTTCTGTTTCAATATATTGCTACGGTAAATCCAATTCGACTATAAGTTTTTTTTTTTAAATTATTTTTACAGCATCACCTTTAAAGTAGGGTAGATTTTGCAAAAAACATGTACCGATCATGCATTACACTCAATAATTTAATGTAAATTCAGTCTGGCTCCAACCATTTCAAAAACAAACAATGTTGAGAGAAAAAAGTTTCTCTAGAAAATAGTTCTAGCAATTCCACCGTCACTTTGTACACTTGAACGAGAAAAATGCAGAAAAAAATCGAGATTAACGATCGACCGCGGAACGGATAAGTTATTGGTATTGAGACGCTGCTGTGTGTGTCCATGTGTGTATTTATGTATTTACCTATTTTATTTACGTAATACCTATGCTACAAAGGCACACCAATGATTCATGGGCATAAAATCTGTCTTGTACACGTGCATCCACGCATTCAATCCTTGGTCTTTCCCAACTTTCTGTGACTCCAAGTTTTATCATTTGGAAGGGGCTTTTGCAACTTACACGTAAAGCAAAAACGGAACTGATCAATTAGTGTAACAAATTCACTGTGGTCACTTACATCGTGCTCATTTTCCAAAGAAAAAATGAATATTTAAACGCTTTTTTGCAATGGTATTTACAAATAAACATTTTTTGTTAAATATATACAATTTTGTTTGATGTCTAAGAAATGTTTTAGAAATAATATTTAATCGCATGAATGTTGTCTGGAAAATTGTTTAGTTGGTAAAGCATACCTTCATAAGCTCGCAGTGTTTAGAAAATGTCATGCAAGTAAAAGAAATTATTTGGAACCATATGAATGACATAAACATAAATAATTATTAAGTAATGAAGAATATATTTCCTTTAACAATATAGTTAAATGGCTACAATTTTACATATGATAAGACATGACTGATACACGCTCATTACCAGAGACAAAAATAAAATTTCACGATAAACTTGGGCAATGTTAAATATTTCTTTTAACTAATAAAAATTTTTTTGAATTGAAAAAATATATTTATCAAAATGATATCTTGGAGAGTGATCGAGAGTTTTTTTTTTTTTTTTAACATAAATTTTGTATTTGGTACCTACGTGATTACATTTATAAATAAAATGAACAAGTGTACTGATATGAAACAACAATTTACATTTGAAAATGATTTTTGTTACTTACAATTAGTACTCACAGCACTAGACTGGTGTTGCATATATTTGACGTTGAATTTTTAGCTTTTATTTATCATAAATAAATGTCATGTACACATCCAACGAGTACAAGCTGCCCAACAAAACGCGCGCTAATAATTTACCGGAATTTGTTTCTTGTGTGCGTTCCACACCACCAATTTCTAATGATTTCTGCAACTGTTCGTATTTTTCACACTGAGGTCCATCGATGTGGAACGTTTCGGAGAATTACTCGATGGTTCAGCAAGAAATTGTTCACAAGAATTAAATAAAAACCATTCGTAAACCAAATAATCATACCACCGTATTTGCATAGATACTATTATGAAGATTACAATTTATTTGTAATACAAGTTTTTTCTATTAACAGAAAATAAATGGAATACGCAATGAAATCTCATTCCATTGTTATCTATGAAATACTATCAGCGTATATTTCATTAACCAATTACAGCTGAGTGCGTTGAAGAGCGTATTTCTTGTTATCGATGCAAAGGAGAGATGCGTAATAAAAACTGTGCGGTCGGTAATTTATAGTTTACCAGGCGTTAGGGGTCATTGAAATGAGGCCAGTGTTAAAGACATTTCTAGAAAAAAAAAAAAAAAAAAGCCAACGGAACTTCTTCCTTTGTTGCTCTAAGAGCCGGACAATGCGAAACTGGACGATCATTGTTATTTTTGCATTGATAAGATAAACGCTGCTTTGAGAATATGCGTTTTAAATTTTTTTTCTTTTCGATACTATGGACTGCAGTAAAATTTACTTCCTCTTATATTATGACCATTATTTGTGTTTCTGCTGCTAATGTTGAATTTTCCATTCAAAATTAATTGTTTTCCTGTGATAAAAATGCATAATTCGCTGTCCGTCACAATTAAGGCATTAATTAAATACCTATCTATATTCATCAAAGTTGGTAGCATTAAATTGATTGGTTGGAATTGAAAATGTCATTAGAGTCAAAAATGTTCGTTAAAGCCGTTTGCATTTTTCTCATCTGCACTTGTATGTAAACCCAAAATCCGTTTGGTGATTTTGTAACACACATAGCTAAGACTCAACACCAAAAAATACTTATCAATAAGTATGAAAGTCTTGGAATTTTTTCCGATGAATTCTAGCATAACAACCATAGTTTTAATCTGCAAGATGGTATTACAATTAATTTTAATTCTAAAATTTGTCAGTATACATTAAATTTTTACCTACTTTTAAATATATAATGTTCCAAGGTTTGATAAAATAACTTACAGCTTAGTAATTATGAGTGTACAATGATGGTTGTTTTTTTTTATAAAGTATTATTTTTTACGAAAATGGTACATTACGTCACTAGGGCACAAAGTACAAACATGAGCGCCCGACGGTTGGTGCCCGAGTCGCGTATAATGTTTTTCTTACCAAGGGCGCAAAATTGCACTTTGCGCCCGTGGGCCCACTTTGCGCCCAGTACATCACTTTGGGCCCTAGGGCAGAACTTTGGGCCCGGAGGGCGCAAAAAACTTTTCTTCCCGTGGGCCCAAAGTAATTACAAGGGCCCAAAGTGTGACTCGAGGGCGCAAAGCGTCAGTTGTACTTTGGGCCTATGGTAAGAAATGGTAGTTTTCCTACGAGTTTGAAAAGTCTTTGTTTGCGAACCGAGAGGTTTGCGGCCTGAGCCGAAGGCGAGGGACATAACGAGATTCGTGAAGGAGACTTTTCGAACGAGTTCCGGAAAACTGCTTTTTCGCCCGAGGAAGTACCAGCCTCCCAAAACCACCCGAGGGCGGAAAACTGTTTTTTCGCCCGAGGAAGTACCAGCCTCCCAAAACCACCCGAGGGCGGAAAAAGTACATTTTTTATAAAAATATGATGACTTTCAGAACGATAGAACTCTACTTTATTTTCTGGAAGAAAATGACTTGTGCAATAGATTTAGTATTACCAAAACGTTTGTTGAATACGAAATTACTTATCCAATACTGGATTATCTCTTGTCAAAATAAATCAGTAAAGTAGATACTACTTCTTCATTTTACAGCATTTGAATAATTTGTAAGTAGTGCTTTTACGCTATCGCTCAATGGTATAAATTTAAAATTTCGCACACATACAAGAATGTGGCACGAGTATGTTTTCAAAAGTTGTGTCATAATTATTTTAAATACTTCATGATGAGTTTTGTTATCTGGAAACATATAACGTACTCATTTTTTTTTTTACAATTTTTTTTTTAGAAAAATGTTAATGCAAAAATATTGGTAATATTGAGGATAAAATAATTCCAGCAAAAGCAATTCATTCCTTTTTCGAAAAAAAGTTGCATTTCAAACTCTTTCAAACTCTGAAAAAAACTAAAAACATAATTGTGTTTACTTCAAAATAGTCATGGAGATACGTAATCGTACAAGCTACACATTAATAACTTACAAATGCAAAAAGTTGTTGTATGGGTTCGGAAAGGGACATCGAGTGGAGGGAAGCTGTAACTTGATCTCTCTGGACTTAACAGTTCCATTTTCATTAAAACAAGCAAATAATTAAGCTTAATTTTTTTAATTAACGCATTTCCTTCATTTTCTGATATACATACACTGCATTTTTTCGTGCATCAGTACCTAAATGTATAAATAATCGTGTAGATTCAAGACGATTACTTCTCCGCTTCGCAAACTCATAAAGAATTGGAACTTCTCGCGCATTGAATGAAAAAGAATGTGCAACGAACATAAAAGACATTAAAAACTTGAAAAACGCTAAATCCCACAATTTCCGCAACTTTAAAAAGTATTCAAATGCACATCCCTCAACTTACCCTTGAAAAAAAATGAGCCCACCAAAGTCTAAAAAAAACATACACTCTTCACTTGATATCAATATTCCACATAATAACTAAGAGCGAAAATAAAATAACGCATGTAATAAACACAAGCAGGCCTGGTTGAAGTGCCCGTGGACGAGAAGCGTCACTCTGGATGCACCGGGTGTGCCGGCTGGCTGAACGACAAGATTCAGCGTATATGCCGGAAAAAGCTATTCTACAAGAGGATACCCATACTCGACTGGCTGCCGAATTATCGGAACGAGTACGTGGTCAGCGACATGGTTGCCGGTCTCACCGTCGGCCTCACCGTCATACCGCAAGCCATAGCCTACGCTAACGTTGCCGATCTGCCGCTTCAGGTATAGGCATATATACTTACATGTGTATAATTTACTTAGATGTTTGTTATTATACACATATGTTTTTCCATTTCACAGTACGGCCTGTACTCGTCGTTCATGGCCTGTTTCGTGTACACGATTTTCGGCTCGTGCAAAGACGTACCGGTCGGGCCCACGGCCATTGCCGCCATCATGACGCATGAGACCTTGGAAAAGTCGCACTTGGGTCCGGAGTTTGCGGTTTTCCTGACCTTCGTCTCCGGGTGTGTTTCCTTGCTGATGGGTGTTCTGCAGCTAGGTGAGTCGGTTGCTGAAACGATTTTTACGTGTGCCTGATTACGATTGCCGATCGATCGACCGTTTTGATCGGTATAATTCACGGTTTGTTGATTTATTTTTTATGAATCGCTTCTAAAGAATGAAGATAACATATTTGTATACGATATTCATCGAATAAGGAAACTACGTTGTGCGTTTGGAATTTTTACAGAAGTAAATGTCTATAAATGAACCTAGTGGCTGAATTTACTGTTTATTGCTTTTTTTTTTTTTTTTATGCTACATGGGTTGAAAAAACTGCTCTATAATTTTTTTCAATCTCGCAGCTTTTTTTTATAAAACACAAATTTAAAATTTGAAACGTGGATTTTACTGCGATATATTTGATTTTGATGGTTTATTTTAACGTTTTTACATTGTTTTAGTGTACAAAAGTTATTTATTTTGGCTAACGTAAAGTAGTAGAATCGTGTATTTTTTTGAAAACTGCAACTAGTGACAAGATGCATTTGTCGTAGAATACCAACTTCGTACTGCATTTGACAACAATAAATTTTTTTTTCTAATTTCTTGACTTCTAGATCATGGGGATTACGTCGAAGATTCAATGCAAAGAGTTTGATTTTCAGAAGATCAAAAACTTTTTCTTTGATAACCAAATGTGTGAATTTTTATTTTTTGAATTATCAAAAAAAAGCTAAGCTTTAACTTTTTTTTCAAATCACTTTTTTAATGATTACATCGTCAAAGTAATTTTCAGGTCCGATGAAAAGGGCAAAAATCTAAGTACAGTTGAAAAATGATAATCGTGCATAATCTAAAGGTTACTGAAAATTGTTTATTTTTCCAAAATTTATTTTACTCCAAATATACACGATTCATGTGTGGCTGTACATTTTTTATTTGTGCGGGGCAGTCGTGCCTACAAAAAAGGGAATTTGCACGTGATTATACATTTGCCATTGAGGGCGAGATGATAAAAAACGAATGAAGACTAAATTAAAATACACTTATAATATTTTTCCTCAAACGAAATGCTTTTTTTCAATTAGATGTTGTTGGTGAGTTTTTACGTATATTTGATGATTTTTCGAAGATGCGTTCAATTGATTGCATTAATTTTAGCTTCAGGTTGCGCACTTTGTCCTCGAAAAGGAGTATCGGCCATCGAGGACGAAGTAAATATTTTTCAAGTTTCGCAATCCACACTGAATTATACGCCTCTTTGAGATGATTGTAAGTAAAGAATACTCGTGCATTACTGACACGCTTCGGGTTATCGGCAAAGTTTATTCGTATACTGCGCTTATTTTACCAGATCAAGACTTATGGTATCATAGACTAATATTAATAGGAGTCGCTGAATGAACTACTCACGTGATTTCTCTCGAAATGGAACATTAATTATCTTGGGTGGAAAAAAATATATAAAAATTACAGTGTGAACATATTATCAGCAATGGGCCCAAAAATAATGGTAAAAATGGAGTGAATATATTTTTCGCGTTTAGAAGAGGAACGATTGATTACACAAAAAAGTCAGTGTTAAATAAGAAAGTTCACTGATTTCACATTATTTGCTCACGGCATACTTGTAAATGAGTTAGGAGTATTAATATCTGGTAGACAATATAAATGTCAACAAAGTAAAGGGCGTTTGAAAAATGGCTCTGTATTTGGAAACAACTTTTTAAGGGCCGTTTTTCAAAAGGACCTTTTTTTGCTTTTCTCCACAATTTGCAAAATGTTTACAACTGATCGACTTGAAATTTTAAGGGCATAAGTATTGGTACCCGAAAAAAATTGGGCAACTTTTTTAACTCTACGACTATTTTGCGCAATTTACCGTTCCACGTCCAGATGTGAAAGACCCAGCAGTTTGGCCATTTTTACCATTTTTTTTTTGACTATAAGTAGACTATAAGTAGACATTTGGAGTATAAGTAAGGATTGTTAATTTTCTGAAATTCAAAGTGAAGGGATCATTAAAATTTTTTCACACTTTCGCGCGCCATTCAAACTCTGTCAGCTGACGCCGTTGTTTTGTAGTGCGCACAGCACGAACTATTTGCGTTCAGCGTTCAACCGTTTTGCGCGCGTGCAGAAAGAGAGATATTATCTTTTGTTTTGTTGACTTGCAGATTCTCTCTCTATCGTCAGTGCACGTATTGTCACTTTGCTTTTTACGCCTTTTGTACGATAGAGTAAAACAATTTGTCTCGTTTCAATAATCTGCTGCTCTTCTTCACTGTCAATAAAAAGGTAAGTCAATATTATTATATATTCGAAGAGTAATCATCGTATAGCTGAAAATTTTCTCTGATCCCTATGAAAGGTTTATGACTGCATAAAAAACAACCAATTGTTAGTTTACTTGAGCCTCAGTGCTTCCTGTATCTCATCGGTTTTTCAAATTCATCAAAATACATGTAAAATGAAAATTTGTGGTTGAGGTTAGAATTAATTTGAGTCCTCCAGAATATACGTTTACTTATACCACTGATCAAAGCCCTATAATAAAAAATGTTTGTTTTTTTTTTCAGAAATTTCAAAACTACGAAAAAATGTCAGACTCGGAATCAAGCTTAGACAGCAATGGGATCCCCAAGTGCTGCAACCCACCAAAATCCAAAGAGCAATGCATCAGCCAGAAGACTAAAATCGAGGCGAGCGAGTCCTCCCAGGAAGAAAACTCTGACGACTCTGACTGCAGAGTTGGTCGTAGAACAGGTCTGTGGGAGGCCATCCTTGGCATGGGATCTGGATCCAAGCGTCATCGGTCTGACAGCAGCGATTCCTCGAGGTCCCCGTCACCAAAGCGACAACGGACTAGGCTCAACGAGTACAAGCACTACGACAAAAGTGACGACGAAGAGGATGCAAGGTACCTCACTGAAATCCCAGCCTCCCAGGAACTCGTGCTCAGGATCAAGTACTGTACGTGGTCGATCTCCTGCTTTAGCACTTGTGAATTAAACACTGAAGGTTACCTGAACTCGAACGTTTATTCCGCTGGCATGTACAACGAGGTGCAGTGGTACTTTAGGATCGAGAGATTCCGGCAAGGCAAGGAGGTGTTTTACGGAGTGTACGTGCACCACTTGACCCACATCCAGGATGAGGCTACTCTGGAGTTTAGAGCTTATATTATTGAACATAGGGGCCACTCTTACAGGCTTGCTCAGGCTTCAAAGTTTCCTCAAAAGAAGGGCTTTCAGTTTCTGGGTTTTGCGCGCAAGAGCCACATCAGGGATGACTCGTACTGGTACTATCGCATGATACCGGATGATGAACTCACTCTGAGTTTCAGAATTCATATACAGTTCAAGAAGAGCAAGAATCAATTGTTCGACGACTTCAAGTCACTTTTGGACAGCAAGACCTGCACAGATTTTAATTTGGTTGTCAAAGGGAACAAGTTTCCAGTGCACAGAGCTATTTTGGCAGCCCGAAGCTCCGTTTTTGCTGACATGTTCAACAAAAAGAAGGCACCAATTGAACACGAATTTGTTAATGTTGAACCAGATGTGATGAAGGATTTGCTCAAGTACTTGTACACTGGAAGACTTAAGAGGCTGATTAAGTATCTTAAAGATTTTTCGACCATCGCTGACAAGTACAATCTTAGAGAGCTTAAGTCCATTTGCGACAAAGCTAAACTTTCATTCCAAGCATAAGATGTTTCAAATAATAGTCGATTCCAATTTGATACCACTAACTAGGAAATAAGTGTTGGAAATAATTCATGACATTGAGTCTGATGATGGCTCAAAGAATGCTGATCCATCATTTTATTTTATGTAACAAATAGTTTATCCAGTGTTTGTTCTTATTTATTCTTAGAATGTCAATATGCCTTGTGATAAAAAGTGATCATTGCACAAATCCAGTGCCTGTAAAGTATAAGAAACTAAGAGTACAAATCAAAATAAGAATGTTTTTCTACTCCTAAGTTAAATATTAATGTTATGCTGCGTGTGATTTGAAAACAGCGTGACTCAACTTTTATACTAAATATTACCGAATGTCACAGTAATTTTATTATTCCTCTTTGCTGCATTATTTTGCGTATTTGTCAGTTTAAATTTTTGTAAAAAAAATAATAAATCTAACAAATGGTTTGATTAGTATGATATGTTGTGTTATTTAAGTATCCACTCCTTTTAGTATTTAGTATACATCGTACTCTTAGACATATGAAATAAGTTTTGGTAAAATTCATGCCATATCCAGTGATACAATATGTACAATAAAAACAGTTTCATTTAACAGTACAGCAAGAAAACAGAAATTGATGGTAACAAAAGTTAAAAAAAAAAACAAATTCTTTTGCACAGGATTCCTCATAGACTTCATCTCTGGGCCAGTATCGGTGGGCTTCACCTCGGCTGCAGCCATAATAATAGCAACGAGCCAAGTAAAAGACATCCTGGGGATCAAAGCTAGTGGCAGCAAGTTCATTCAGGTCTGGAGCAACGTCTTTGAGCACATTGGCGAAACGAGGCTCTGGGACGCGGTTCTTGGTCTAGTCTGCATGGTCGTCTTACTGCTACTGAGGGTATTTCGCACTTGTTTTTTCATGCAATTTGGAAAAAATGTCACTTCCATTCAAAAGCTGCGCGTGATCTCAATAAAGCACCAAAGTCAATTTTAACTATGTGATTGTGTTTTGACACAATCGCAAACGTACACGTGCATGTGCATCCATCAACCGGTCGATATAAAAAATTAACGTGAGGTGTGCATCCCCTGGGGAAATGGCTTTCTTGACAAACTGAGCCATAATGTGCCAAAAAGTGCTGAATGCTTGAAATGGCCACAGTTTGGCACAATTTAGCGCACGTTGCTTTGCCACCGTTTGGCACAAAGTAACACACAGCAAATGATTTCCACAGGAGATACGACAAACTGACTCTAGCTTTTGATATCACTGCAGCGAGAGAGAACGAAAAAATTTTTTTTCGAAAATCTTATTGGTGTACTCTTCAACAAACTCACGGTTTCAGAAAGCCAAGGACATCCCGGTGGCTTCCAGCGAGCGCAAGCAGCCTACCTGCCTGGAGCGCGTGCTGGAGAAGTTCCTCTGGTTCATATCGACGGCCCGCAACATCCTGGTGGTCGTCTCGTGCGCCGTGGCCTGTTACCTCCTCGAGCAGCACTTGGGCAGTTCGCCGGTCGTCCTCACCGGGCACGTCAAGCAGGGCCTGCCCGGCATCGAGCCGCCACCGTTTTCGGCCCGCGTCGGCAACGAGACCCTCCACTTTTTCGACATGCTGGGCGCCATGGGCTCCGGCTGTCTCGTCGTGCCCCTGCTCAGCATCCTCGAGACCATCGCCATCGCCAAGGCCTTCCGTAAGCCAAACACATATGTACCAATGAGGTGCCGAGCCGGCAGTTATTGCACACTGTATAAGGGATTTTTTGGTTATTCCAGCCGATGACAAGCCGATCGACGCCACGCAGGAGATGCTCGCGGTGGGCGTGTGCAACGTCGTCTCGGCGTTCGTGTCGTCGATGCCGGTCAGCGGGGGTCTCAGCCGTGGGGCGGTCAATCACTCGTCGGGGGTCAGGACCACCCTAGGCGGCGTCTACACCGGGATACTCGTGCTCATGTCCCTGCAGTTTCTCACCCCGTATCTCAATTACATTCCCAAGGCCGCGCTGGCAGCCGTTATCATAGCCGCGGTTGTTTTCATGGTCGAGATACAGGTCATCAAGCCCATGTGGCGCACCAAAAGTTAGTCGATGCTCCACATACTTTTACTCAGCTAACGGTCATATCATCCCACTCTTTCAAATCCATCCGTCGTTTAGTTGGTTGCTTGTGGGGTGTATCGGCTATGCTCGCGTGGACAAAACGACTGACCAGCAGAATAAGTATTCCAGGGGTTTTCATTGAATCCTTTGGGAAATAGAGCAATCAAAGTAACTATAAATAGCTGTAAAAAGAGTTCATTATCAACTTTGAGCAATGAATGTCCACTAACAATACGCTTTAAACTTATACAACAATTTGGACATGTACGCACTGGATGGTTGAACAGCCCCTTATTGGGTTTGCCTTCAACGGTGTATTTTTATTTTAGTTTGATCAAAAGTGATCAGTTGTTGAAGTTTGAACGTAGATCGGAATCTTGCATGAAAGTAAAAAACAATTTCTAAAAATGTAAAAAACCGTTTTTTGGCGGTTAATGGGTAAACTAAGCGTTTTACAATAAAATAAAATGTGTGTGTTAAAAATGCCTAATGAAAAGACCAATTGAGTGAAATTTTGAAAAAACTGAAAAAAGGCCCTTCGGAAAAATGGCCGTGAAAAAGTTTCGGGCCAACGTAGGCCAATATTTTCAAAAGCGCTTTTGTTCATCAGAAGTTGCTCTACACCATCCTAAAATGCCGTATCAGTTGACCTAATGCAAGTACGGAAAAAATTGATTGCAAACAAAAAGAGCTTCTTAAGTCAGGTAGTTCGAAATCCGGCTGTAGGTGAATTCCGCACAAACTGACTTATAATTAAAAAAAAAAAAGCTTTTGTTTTAAAACAAAAATGTAATTAATCTCAGTGCTAAATAACATTACAATACATTTACATATGCAGCTAAATTTACATGCCCTTTTTTGCTGCTTTTAGATTTACAACCTTCACAACTATAAGTCCTACTATTCGATAGAACGCAAGTTACATATTTTCAAAAAATTTTCAAAAAGGCGATTTTTTGCAACTTACTCAAAAACTACTGGACCGATGGGGCTCAATAAAACTCGGCCAATTGGCCTTTTCATTTCGAATATTCAACACTTTTTTGTCAAATAATTAGCTTTCCACAAACCATTAAGTGCAAAAAATCGTTTGTAACGTTTTTTTTTTACTGTCGTGCAGGATTCCGATCCACGTTCGAATTTATTATGTTATTTAATATTATATTGTTACTATTTACCAAAAACAAAATAAACACCACAGTTCGCAATTTTCATATCCATATTTGCTAACGTGATCCAGCCATAGGGGACACACATTCTTTAACGATAAATTTTATTATTTTTAAAATACATACATACTTTTATAATTTTCCTGGTGAGAATGCACCTACAAAAATGGCAACGTTTTGCAATTGTTTCGAACAAAAATTATGCATTACTCTAAAAAACCACGAGAGCTTCGTTACTACTGTTAATGAACAACAAACTGATCGACAGACGTATAACTGTACATTTGTGCAGTTTGAAACATGGTGGTTTTTTACAAAAATAATAGTAACTTTTTTTTACTTTTTAATCAATTAATCAAATACAAAAACTCTTTAAACATGCCTGACTCTCCTTCGCAATGAAACTTTGAAGTAGAAAAAATTGTCGCAAATACAAAAGTTCTTTTAAAATCGTTTCAGAAATCGATTTAGTTCCTGCTGGCGTCACGTTCTTAAGCTGCTTATTCATAAGGCTGGAGTTCGGCATCGTCATCGGCATAGTCACAAATCTACTTTTCATACTCTACGGCACGGCCAGACCTTCCATAAGATTCAGCAAAGCCACAGTGAGTAGTTTCTTCCGTTAAAATACTTAAAAAAATGAAAAGAAGCTCTTGTAAACTTATAATTTATTCTATTAAAAAAAATTAAAAATTATCAGAGCTTGGGTGGTCTCGAGTACCTGGAGATCACGCCCGACCGTAGCCTGGTCTTCCCGAGCGTCGAATACGTCAGATCGATGATCAGCAAGCAGGGCTCGAAGCAGGGCACTGCCGTCCCCGTGGTCATCGATTCCACTCACATACAAGCCGCCGATTTCACCGCAGCTAAGGTACGCCTCACCCATTCGATTATCCAAAAAGTTTCGCTGGTGCTAGGTCACTTCCAAATAAGCTACTGCATTTCCCAGTGTTACGTTGGCGCGAGTGGAGCGACGAATTATTCGAGTCTAAGCTTGCGCTTAATAACTCGGGCTTACATTGGGCGGTAGGTATATACTCGAAAAGGGGTACGAATATTCGGAGCGTTGCACTGTGGGTGTCCCGTTTCGCGATCGAGAAGCCACCAATACCATCACGAGTGTAGAAGCGATTGCCGTGGACTATACGTCCGAAAAACAATTTGTTATTCATTCCCGTGGTCTAGAGGGTACCGGTTTTTACTTCATTTTCATTTCCTTTTTGGAAAAATAACTTTGCACGCGGCGAACCAGCGCGAGGTGTCCGATACCGAGATTACTTAAGCCACGCTCGTGGAAAACCGTATGATAGCAGAGGTGGACTCTAACTACCCAGTCAACCGTTCGAGAAAAATAAAACTAGTCCTTCCCAGGGCCTCCGGGCCTTTTTATGGAGAGTAGTGGACCTCGGTGACGCGCTAGCTCGAAATTGACGCAGGAGAGCTTGCCGGGGGAAAACCTGGAGAAAAGACAATAGCCGAAAATCTAATTGGCTAGAACTGCCCTAGTATAGCCACTCAGAAATTGGCACTTCCCACATCCGGTTATCTCTCCTCTTTGCGCTAAGAGAAGGGAAGGAGATTCACTTGCTCTTATGCCCTTCCTTTCCCTTTTACAACGAAGTTTACAGAATCTCAATATAATTCAACCTTAACATTATCACAGAATATTATTAATATTTACTGATGCTAAACACCGGTCGTTTGTTCAACTAAACTCGTTGCAAAAAGTGCGGTGAAAATCGCTTAACATTTCGATTCAATGCTTGGATGAATAAATCGTTGGTGTGTTACGGTACATATCAATTGGCATTAATAGTTAAACAGCAGTAACGGTGACCGTTGCTAATAATTACTTATAATTATAGTGGTAATAATAATAATACTTATAACAATAATTATTATTAAAGTTTTTTGGTTTTTTAATAGGTGAAATTAGAGTTGTTAACAGACATTGACATTGTTATGATTATCGAGCGTGGCATATGAGGTGGAATCAGTCAATGTTGCAATCGATATGCAAAAGCTAATAATCCTTACATGAAAGAAGACTATCAAGAAGATATAGATGAAAAATATCTCATATGTTATGATGTCAATAATTTATATGGATGGGCCATGACCCAACCATTACCATATGCAGATTTTAAATGGATTCAAAATACAAATTCAAAGGGTATTTTAAACGTNCACTATTCTAACAATTAAGTGACCATTGTCATTAAGTGAGCAAACAAAAAAAATAGAGAACGATGCCGGAATTAATTGCGAAAATAACACCGATTGGTTTGAATGGCAGTCATATTGATTGTTAAAGATTCTCTTTTTTTTTTTAATCTTTCCTCAAAATCGTTGTCACCATCGACCAAAGTTCCAATAAACAGCAAAAATTTAAAGAAAAGTTTATTTAACATTATTCTAGAACAAAGCACGTACACCCTGGTGTCATCGACTAAGTTAGCCTCGGTAATTTCCCGTTGGCAAGATAACAGGTATCCATTATAAACGATGGTGATGTCACGCTCATGTCACACGCACAGTAGCCACACCAGAAGCCACGTCGTTGTTCGTCAGTTGCTCGGAAGACTTGCTCCGACTAGCACCTACGCAGTTAGCATGGCGGCAGTTTCTGGGGCCGTGAGGCCCATCGAATCACGTCTCCCAGCAACATATCTAAAGAGTCGAGGCAGTTGGACCTGAAACTTAGCGATGATTCTTGCACTTTACCTGTTGACGATAAGGTAAGGCTATTTGGCCATTGCATTTACATACTCCAACTTCTCTCGGACTTTTTTTAAAATTCAATGAAATTGCGTTTCTGCGAAAGGACGTTTATCTGAAAGAAACGGGATTGTGCGGAATTCGACAAGAACACAATCAAGGTCATCGTATAAGTATCAAAGTTTATTGTCGTTGTCTTTGTCTTCATTCTTTTTTCAAGCGTCTCATATTTCGCAAGAGTGATACTAAACTTAAGTAAAAAAAAGTCTGTTAATTTTTTTTTATATCTTAAGTGCATACAAAAATCTCCAATCCACGAATTTCTTGTAATGGAGTGTGATTAAAGCGCACGAAGTTCACCTTCTCAAATGCCACGTGTCAGCTAGAAAAATGCGTCCGTCTTTTAGGTCAGAGATAGATCCTTCTTAGTTACGGGCATTAAAAAAAGTGAACAAGACGAGCATGTGAGAGCTTCTTTAGGTGCCACCTCAAAGTTTAACATCCAAATTATACTGATCTGGGATCACGCTTGCGAAATATGAGACGCTTGAAAAAAGAATGAAAACAAAGACAACGACAATAAACTTCGATACTTATACGATGACCTTGATTGTGTTCTTGTCGAATTCCGCACAATCCCATTTCTTTCAGATAAACGTCCTTTCGCAGAAACGCAATTTCATTGAATTTTGAAAAAAGTCTGAGAGAAGTTGGAGTATGTAAATGCAATGGCCAAATAGCCTTACCTTATCGTCAACAGGTAAAGTGCAAGAATCATCGCTAAGTTTTAGGTCCAATTGCCTCGACTCTTTAGATATGTTGCTGGGAGACGTGATTTGATGGGCCTCACGGCCCCAGAAACTGCCGCCATGCTAACTGCGTAGGTGCTAGTCGGAGCAAGTCTTCCGAGCAACTGACGAACAACGACGTGGCTTCTGGTGTGGCTACTGTGCGTGTGACATGAGCGTGACATCACTATCGTTTATAATGGATACCTGTTATCTTGCCAACGGGAANACAATAATTATTATTAAAATAATGATAATAATAGTTGTAATAGTATGGGTAATGATAAAAATAATAGTACTGCACCCGTCGTGAGTTAACGTAATTAGGTTAACGGGCAGTTTTGACTGATTATAATATTGCAAAAATAATTTAGAACTTTTTGGTAGAATTTTTGTCAATATGTTTTTCACTGCTTGTCGTTGGAGAGAAAGTCGGCTCATGGTGCCCTGGGGAATCGTAGTTAGCACTTTTGTATGTTATATGTACCTATTGCTTACTGTAGGTGTAGCATGTATGGGTTTGTTTTCACATCTTATAACTATATGTAGTAATTCGAAGTTATTTTAGCATTTAATATTATTTTCGTTTTTTGATCTTAGTCTGTACGTATCAATTTTAAGTTATTCTGACATTTAATGTTACATCTCAGTGCAGCTGTTCCCAGTTAATATTTTGCACCTATTGGTTTTTGAAATGTCGCTAGTTATTTGTATATGAAATAATATTAGTTTTTCATTCCTGGTCAGCGTAGGCCAGCGTACACGTGCATGAATCATAGTTGGTCATTGTGCTGCAGCTACGAGCAAACTTGCAGGTGATTCAACTATTTTCAGATGCACGTTGGTCCCTGCTTAAAATTCTTTCGAGTCAACATGGGAAATTCCGAAGGAATGAGCAAAAAAAATTATTAATAATTGCATTAACCGACATTACACCAGTAGTTTGTAAATTATTTGATATGAGTGCGTGTTAAGGTCTCGTATGTTATTCGATCGTATCATTTGAAACTTCATTTTTCGCGAACAGAGTAAAAATTGATGTTTTTGTATTTTTTTACTTTTTTTATTTTTGCATGTCTATACTTATTTTGATACTATTTAAAAATGAGTCGTTTCAACAGGGTATCAAAAGTCTTATCGAAGATTTTGCAAGAAGGGGCCAACCGCTCATATTTTACAACTTAAAACCCAGCGTTTTCACGATCTTCCAAGGCGTCAAACCGATCGATTTGCGATGCTGTTTCAGTGAAATCGAGCTGGACAACTATCTTAGAGGTTTGCAAAACATAGTGTTGTTTTTTAATCATTAGCTGAAAAGTATATTACAATTAACGAACGTTTGACTCGCAATAGTTGAAACAATAACATAAATTTTGTTACAGAATTCGTAAACAGTTCGGCACATGCTGTCACCCGGCATTAGGCATAACTCGGCGTGGATCTCGAAAACAAATTACAGTATTATACGTCATTCTTGACAGTGCATATATGATGGATTTCTCGCGAGGGAATGACGAATGACAGGAATAAGAACCCACGATCTCAGTTTATTTGATTTCTTTGTACTTTCTAAACAATAAAAGCACAGAGTGCCATTGCCTTGCGCCTCCCAAAATGGTGACGGTATAGAAATTTGGCATATTCCACTGTATCTGCAAAATATTGAATTACGTTACAATTATTAGCCACGTTTAAAAAAAAAAAAGACCATTTTTTACCTAGCCCCACCGAAAGTAGTACTTTTGTTCTCTATGTGAGGACCATTTTCGGTCGAATGGGTCTAAAAGATGGCAATACCCTTTACGAGAGCAAAAAAAAAAAAAAAAGTCTCATATCGCACACTTGTATTAAACGTGAGGTGTAAAACATTTTTACTTTGGCTTCTTAGATGTATAACGTACCATTGTTTTAGTATTAGCTACTATGAATATCGTCAGTATAATTATTAAATAAACATTTTAAAAATTGATTAAGAGTTGTCAAAGCAATTTCGTTTTTGGTGGATAATTTTTAATGTAGAACTATATGTACCACCTTACGAAAAGTAAACTGTATATAAATAACTGTACCCTATTAAAACGATTTGAACCCTCCTGTTCTGACGTTATCATCATATAATGGCTTATCAGTACATAGTGTTAAATTTTAATTTGTAAGATAACCATCTACGAGAGACGCTAATACCTACAGCTATAGGTACGTTGTTAGCCTTGTCTTTGGTAACGCTTTCCAAGACGTTTTTTGTGACGTCTTCACTTTTGATAGGGTACAAACAGAACCCTACTGTCAAAATTAATTTTGTTTTATTTTTTTTTTTTTTAAACAATGTAAATTCATCATAAAAGAATAAAGTATACATATTTATGTGATAAGCATTCTAGTGATATTATTTTCTCGCTCAACGGTAGGAGTATTTTTCCACAGCGCCAGTTTATGCTCAACGATGCTCTCACAATAAAATCTCATCCAGGAACAGTTGATGAGTATACATGTTAGATCGAGGAAATCCGATGGGTTACCAAACTAAAAATGACCGAATGGTATAGACTAACCGAACCCTCTTTCACAAAAAATGCCAAAAAAAAATTTTTTTTTTTTATAAACTGTTTATAACTAATTTATAAACAAATTGGTAACAACGTGCATACGTTAGTTGTTAATCGATAGTCGTTTCATCCCTATACATAATAAAAATGATAAAAATCGGATGGAAATTGACTTAGATACAGCATTTTGTTTCGTCAATTGAATTTGAAGTTGCTCGATCGAAAAATAGCTCGACGGCTCCTACGAAGAATCGTACTCCACAAAATATCCAACGAAGAATCGTACGCGCAGATATATTCCAGCGAAGAATCGTACAGGCCACTTCTTTCCGACGAAGAATCGNCAGCTAGAAAAATGCGTCCGTCTTTTAGGTCAGAGATAGATCCTTCTTAGTTACGGGCATTAAAAAAAGTGAACAAGACGAGCATGTGAGAGCTTCTTTAGGTGCCACCTCAAAGTTTAACATCCAAATTATACTGATCTGGGATCACGCTTGCGAAATATGAGACGCTTGAAAAAAGAATGAAAACAAAGACAACGACAATAAACTTCGATACTTATACGATGACCTTGATTGTGTTCTTGTCGAATTCCGCACAATCCCGTTTCTTTCAGATAAACGTCCTTTCGCAGAAACGCAATTTCATTGAATTTTAAAAAAAGTCCGAGAGAAGTTGGAGTATGTAAATGCAATGGCCAAATAGCCTTACCTTATCGTCAACAGGTAAAGTGCAAGAATCATCGCTAAGTTTCAGGTCCAACTGCCTCGACTCTTTAGATATGTTGCTGGGAGACGTGATTTGATGGGCCTCACGGCCCCAGAAACTGCCGCCATGCTAACTGCGTAGGTGCTAGTCGGAGCAAGTCTTCCGAGCAACTGACGAACAACGACGTGGCTTCTGGTGTGGCTACTGTGCGTGTGACATGCGCGTGACATCACTATCGTTTATAATGGATACCTGTTATCTTGCCAACGGGAAATTACCGAGGCTAACTTAGTCGATGACACCAGGGTGTACGTGCTTTGTTCTAGAATAATGTTAAATAAACTTTTCTTTAAATTTTTGCTGTTTACTGGAACTTTTTTTTTAAGCCAAAGGCTTAGGTAACGTTTATAATTTGCATTTCACTGTAACAATTTCAGTTGGAAATTCTGTAGGTAAATAGTCCTAATGGATTTTTTTTTTTTGTACGTATGAGGGCCTAAAAAAGGAAAGTATCCGTTTAATTCGACCACTTGACAAAAATCTTCGACAGCAAAATGGTTGCGTATGCTTCACCTCATTAGAAGAGGACAGGAACAGAGAGGGCTTTCCTGCTCCTTTCTCTGTCACTCTTTGGACCACCGTACAGAACGGCTTTTAATAGACGTCGTATCCTCTACTCTAATAGCTCTACGGAGCGTATATAATTTTAATTTCCCAATGATTTGATTGCAAGAGACGAGAAAAAGCTCTACCCCCTCGGTGAAAGAGACTGACCTCAGGATAATTATACTGTACAAGAAAAAAAGGGAGACAAATATGCTATGCTATAGTTGAGTGGGGGTGGAGCTGTGTTTAAGAATTACTACGACGTTTACTGCTTATGTTGGCTCTACGGGATAGAACCCTTACTTCTTAAAAAAAGCTAGTGCTAAATGATACATATTTTTACAAATGAGATGTCATTAGTAACTTTATTTCATTATTGTCATGATTTTTGTGGGTACGGAAACATTTGTTGGAATAGAAGAAAAAAAAAAAAAAAAAAAAACAACATTTAGTTTATTTCAGAGACTCTAATAATATGTAAATACTAGAAGGTGTTTAACCAAAAATTTACACGCATCTCCTTCGATAACTAGATAATCGTATAGTTTTGAACTAGATTTGGTCTTGTTCTCGTCAATTGATCCACTCCATATGTCTGACGCCAAAAGTAAAAAGACATGTATTAAACGAAATAAATATAACTTTTTCTCGCAGTAAATTATCTTTAATGCTAAAGGCCGTAAATCTACAGAATCCTAATACTATCAATATGAATATTACAATCATTTAAAATGAATGCTTAACACTAAAGAAGGATTGTTCAATTTAATAAGGATAGTGAAATATATTACTTAAAATTCAAAGTTATGACAAATGACAAGGAGTCAGCGTATTTTTATCTTCATGTGCCATACGCATGACTTTTTTGCAATGCGTATAATACAGCCAAATATGACGTAGTTAAACTTATCATCTGAAAAATTCAGTTGAATTTTATAATTTTTTACATACTACATCAAATTTTACATTTAAAAACTTTTATTTTGACTGTGTAATTTATTATTGTAGAGAAATTATGAAAAGCACTTACCGACGTAAACACAGATTCATTCAATGGAAAAATGTGTAAAGGTTGTAACGTGATGTCTGTCCTCGCTCGTAAATGCGAAAAAAATAAGAGCTGAAAGTTGAATTTTCATCATAATTTCTTGATTAATCACTTATCCAAATAACTGTAAACTTTAAAACTTACTTCACGTGTTGTACTAATTTTTTTACACTATTATTATACATCAAGCAATTGTTCAACGCCTTGTTAACTTGTTTACTCTGAGTGATTTATGTAAGTTTTATTAAATTCCAGCAATAAAAAAAATAAATTAGCAATGTGTTACCTGTTGGATTGCTAAACTCGCAGATTCAGTTAGTAGCAAGACTGTAGTTTAAGCCGTGAACATGTATATCAGGTATAATATTAATTCGTCCGTTGGCATACTATTATTTTTATTGATAAACCAGTTCATCAAATGGTTACAATAACGCAAAAAAGACAAGAAATAGAAAACAATACATAGAAACATTGACGAAGAGTAAAAACTTGATACATCTTTCGTTACTTTAATCAATAACATGTTAATTCTTCGTAGCTTTAGTATAGCCTGCAATTTTTCTTGTTCACTGACACAAATACATAAATTGATATCTGCCATGCTAGTAGGCTCAACATAAATATTTTTCAAATGGNTCGTCGGAATATATCTGGGCGTACGATTCTTCGTCGGAAAGAAGTGGCCTGTACGATTCTTCGTCGGAAAATATCTGCGCGTACGATTCTTCATCGGAAAATATCTGCGCGTACGATTCTTCGTCGGAAAATATTTGCGCGTACGATTCTTCGTCGGAATATATCTGCGCGTACGATTCTTCGCTGGAATATACCGACGTATGCTATTCTTCGTTGAAAGGCTCGGGGAGTACGTTTCTTCGTAGGAACCTCTGGAGTACGATTCTTCGTAGGAGCCGTCGAGCTAAGGAAAACATTTTGGTGAATCTCAATGACTCGTGAGAAGTGTGACTTATACATAAACATTTGAATTGGACAATTTTGAAAGTAACATTATGCAAATTGGTTTGCAAAATTATAAAGTTTGAAGGCTGTAACTAGCTGCCCTGTCAACTTCAAAAGCTTATGTTTCTTATTAAACAAAAGGCGTAATAAACAATTTAAAAAATGATCTCAGCTTATTAACATTTTACAACAATCTATTTTTTTAATTCTTATAAAAATATCAGCTACAAGAATGTGTAATGTAATTGTCCCTGTGATAATTTGTTCAAAAGATATTCGCACAAAACAACGCCCGAAAAAGTTGCACTTTGTAAAACGTGATTTTTTTGAAGAAAAAAGGGAAAAAAAATTAAGTCAGTTAGAAATTTGTAGACTAGACGTAACAGCGAAAAACAGAAATTGTATCACATCGATTTCAACATTTGAGACCTTTTTAATGAACAAATGCATTTTTTTAAACAATTTGGAATGTTTTTTTTTTTTTAAATCACAGTGGTTATATGACAACAAAATACATATCCTCACCAAGTTTCAAGACTGCAGGATGATTATAAATGAAATAAAAAAAATAATCAAATTTTTGACTTTTTCGGTACTGTTTTCCCATTATTAACAACAAATACTGACCGATTCTGATATTTCTGGTCATAAATTAACTGATTGTGTATCGCCTACTAAAGAAAAATTTTAATTTCTATATATTGTTGATAGGCTTTTAGTTATTTTATAAATACTGAAAAACTGTCTTTTTTTGCATAAAAACGTAAAAAAAAGATCCGACCTTTTAAAATTGCAAATATTTCATGTGGACGTTTATTATCCAAACTGACACTCGACAAAAAATGTAACATCACTTGTAAGCAATTTCGCCCAGCCACTTTTTGAATTTTATTGGCCTAGCACTGGTAATAGGTATGGGGTAATGGGGGCTATTCTTCCGCTGAGAGCGCTCACCATCACATGAGGTCCTTGCGTGTATTTTGTATATCTATATATTACGATGCGCACGCACTCACACAAACTATAGATATACTAAGACGTATTGAGTACTTCATGTGATGGTGAGCGCCCCTAGCGGCAAAATTATGCAATGCACGTCTG